CTGTAGCCGTGGCTGTTTCTACGCTGGAAAGAATCACTGGCCATGGCTAATGCAAAACAAAGGCAGTTCCTACGCTGCTTGATTTTTGTGTGAAAACTTTGTTGAAGCGCTACGATGTGGCCACGAAGAACAAATATATTACTGACGAAGAAGGGTGAGAAAAGCAGGCTGAAGTCAGTGAAGACATCGATGTCGAACGTAGTGATACTAGTACTGGTACTGGAATTTAGCATGGACTACCTGTGGAGCATGAAGTGGCTGCCCACTCGCTGGTAAGTGGACCCACTTGCAGCTCCAGTCGCACGAGTACCGTTTGAAACTTTCTGTGGATCCTAGAGTATCCTGAGCTCAGTGGACGACGCATCTCAGAGCTGCTGAACTTGGGCTACTGTCCCTGTAGGAATGAGGTTCGTGTCAACCACTGTACTGCACTGATGGTGTAAGGAAAACGCTGGCCAGAAGCTTGTGTTCTGAACCAGGGACGAACTTCTAAATCCTGCTTTTGTAAAAATAGGGATGCCACAACTAAGATGTGCACACTGAGGTGTGTATTGGGTAAATGCCTGTGGTTGATTATTTTGAATCCTTTCCTATGCGCAGGTACATGGGTTTGTGTGTGTGTGTACGTGCGCGCGTGTGTGTATGTGTGTACGCGCGCGAGTGAGTGTGTGTGTGTGTGTACGCGCGCGCATGCGCGCGTGTGTATGTGTGTGTGCAAGCTGTTGAAAGGTGTAATCCGAGCACTAGTTGCTATGTCTAACGTAGTTTGTTCGCTATCCTCGCTTCAGCGTTGGGCAGGTGTATGAGTGTGTGTGTACGCACGTGTGTGTGTGCGCGCGTGCTCGTGCCCGCATGTGTGGGTTCGCACGCAATGTTGATCTGGGTTATGCACATGTCTCCACGAGTGCACTGTGTGCATGTGCATGCAAATGTCTGTGTACATGTATGTGTGTATGCACGTGCATGTGTGCGCGCGTGTGCAAAGCTAGGTGTGGAAGGGGGGGGGGGGGGAGGGGCTCACGGTGCTGGTTCTGTATGCCTCTCCTCTCTGGTGTCCGCAAGGACAGTGTGGTAATGGCTTTACAGCACAGGAGTTGCATGTGAATGCGCATTTGTGAACCGTATTTGAGACACAAAAAGAATTGCCGAGAGAGCATGACAGTACACTACATGTAATTGCATATCGTATGTGTGCACGCCAGCGTGTGTAGATGCATATTGCCCTTCATGCGATGTTTTTCTGGAGTCTGCTGCTATCAACGCAAGTGACAACCAGCAAATGCATGCCCAGTGCAGTGGTTGGTCTTCATGCTTTTATTTACACCAAGTCCTACTATGGACTAGTAGTGTTACAATGACGCGTGCACGGAAGTGCGTGCATGTGGGTGGGTATTTATGTGCGTGCGCACGCGCGTGAGTGTTTAGTGTGCCTTATTTTGAATGCCTGCTTTCACATTATTCATGTGCCAGTTTCATGGTAGAGGTTGTTATGAAACCTCGCTGCCTTACATGTACATGTACACTACTCGTATATCAATGTGCTAGGACTGAAGGCTACATGACATACATGTAATGATGCATGTACCTTTCCAAGCACAGACTGTCTGGTATGTCCAAAGGAGGTTGCAGCATGAAAATAACTTCTTCTAAAATAATATTACCATGTCATTGGTAGTGATATTTAGTCAAGAAGGCGAGAATGGTCAGATTTTCTAAAATGCTATTTTCAGAATTGGCGTAAAAGTACCATATTTCGATACCTATAATATTATTGTTTGGTAGGGGCCTAAAGTGCCTGGTGACACCATCAAAACTGTCCATGGACAAAATGTTGCAGGCTGAACCATTTCACAATTCAGCACCCGATGGAAATTTCGGTTCCCGTAATTTCGAAAAAGTGGCTCGCCAAGGGCAAAACCAAGACACAGTCTATCTTGTGTAGCCAAGATACCTCCAAATGTGGTTCTTAAACATATGATGAAGAAAATGCTTACAGTCTGTTTCAAAAAGATTTACAATCAGGTTTGGGTCTTAAAAAGTATGAAGATATGGGAAATTTGGACAACAAAGTACATAGAATGGCTTGTTAGGACACGGCAAATTGTTCTGTGAAGGTTTCGGAACAATTGGACCAACCGTTAAGGAGTTAGAATTTCGGCCAGGTTTCCGGCCTTTTCCCATGGTTTACAATTTGCCCAGGAAGCCAGTATCGATTTTTTATCAAAACCCACGATTTATCCTTTCCTTTTTGGCCTTGTGGTTATAAATGCTGTCTGTTGACCATGAAGTTGTGAGTTCAAATCCCAACCTATCCTCAAGTCAAACTTTTTTTATTGTTTTGGTGATCAAGCTGGTGCAAGACAAAGAAGATGGCAGCACCAAACCGGACTTGTTGTTGGAGCTCGCGCTTCCTGCCGAACTGACTGACACTTGACTGCACGCCATGTGAACACACCCACAACATTGCAATGGTGTGAGTGAATTATAATGGAAGTCATCGCGCTGTAGCTTTTTGGGATATATTTTAGTATTTCAAGATCGCCAATTTATTTGAATTTAGCAGTCAACGCCGTCTTCTATCAGCGTTCACAAGCGTCTGCTTTTCTCAAAATGTCGTCGAAGTCACACGGATAGCTTTGCCAAGTCATGGCCTGGGGAAAGAGTCCGTGTCGATGTCGTTTTCGTCACACCAAGAGTACATAACTCTCTCTTGGTCACACGGTGAGTAAATTGCATCGCAGCTCAAAGAAACTATTTTGGTCACAAAACGGACCCATGCAGCTCGTCAATATTTACAACACTTTCGTTTCGACATGTCCTCTGACTCCATTATCGATACGAGGAAGAACTCGTTTGTTGTATACCAGACGTACATGCCTGTGTCAACGTGAGTGAGTTGTCATTTTTCCTGCTTTCGCGCGGAATATTTCTTCGAGTTCACAGTGAGTTTTTCCAGGCAGCGCTCGAGTGCTCATACGGTAAGATGCCAAACTCCGCGGGCGATCGCCAGGATTGTAAATCTTTTTGAAACGGACTGTGGTATCCTCCTTCCAGGAGGCTTCTTTGGGTCAAAAACCAAATTGTTTTACCATTTTTTGCCGAAAATCAAGAAATTGTACACTCACTAAATACACTAAATACACCTCTTATATGCCTGGTGACTAGGGCTAGGCGGATAATGCTCGCCGAAATCCCTCATTCTGCTTTTCGGTCTGCTCAATATTCTGCTCATGAAAGTGCATTTTCTGCTGAAATTTCTGCTGAAATCCAGTTATGTAAAAATACACTTGGCACACATAATTGGGTTCAGGATCTAAAAAGATGAGTCATGTGAAATACTAGACAAGGCATTCTAGTCTTTATGATCAGTTCTCACCAAGTATATTTGCAAAATGCTTGTTTTGCGAACATTTTCAAGTCTGACTTCACTGGTGTCGTGATCCACGGAATACCCGTCCGCGGCCCGGCTTGCGCAGCAAAAGATGATTTGATTTGAATCTTTTCACACAGCGGGCTTTTTCACCGAAGGTCGAAAATCGCTGCAACTGGGCCATATTATGTAGATCTACGAATCGTAGACTTCTGCCACTGGCCTGCCATTCAAGGCTGCTACCTTCCGCAAAGTAACAGTTCCGGCCACATTTGGTGGATGGATGAACTGCGTGTCGAAGAACGCGGCAAATCTGCTGCAAAAGCAGAACGTCGCACGCCAATTCCGTGGTAACTGTCATTTGACATGGCAGAGAATGCTTTTTCAGCCCCCGTTCTGCCGAAATATGCTCGACCCCCCAAACAGGCGTTTTCTGCCGAAAATTCTGCCGGCATTATCCGCCAAGCCCTACTGGTGACCCTACCTAAAAACTATACCAAATTGAAGAAGAGACATCACTCCACCATTCTATGCATAAAAACAGGGTGTCCATGGACCTTTTATTTTTACTTCTTTAGGTGGGAGCCTCCTAAAGTTCGAAAGAAAATTCGAGTCTGGGAATGAGTACAGAAAAAAGCTCGAAACTTCGAAAACTTGGACGCGAAGTTGCAGTGATTTGCGAAAGTAACTTTCTCTTTTCTCGGTACACATTTGACTACAGAGAGTAGTAATTTTACAGCCCCTGCTTGAGACTGAGATGCATATACGGTACGGTACTACAAGATTCAAAATAATAACTTCGAGAAAAGTCATTTCGCATTGCTAAACCTCACAAGTTTTCTTTTTCGAAACAGATATTCGCGAAATATCACCACCACAAAAAGTTCGAATTTTCGCATTGCTAAACGTCCTTTTTACAGAAAGATAGTATACTTACTTTGAAATTGTTCAAGTAACGTGTCGTGTTTGGTGTGGCCAAGCTTGGCCGTTAATGTTCTAGGTGAAATGTACTGCTATTACCGGTATGTGTTATCACTTTGTCCTTCCTTCTTTCTTTAAATTCTCTTGTTTGTTCATTTTCATTTGCAAGTTTATTGTTAGCACACGCACTCATGATTGCTCTCGTTTTCATTGTTAAAATTCACACTTGTAAATTTCACTGCTGTTGTTCTTGGTGTTATTTCTCGAACTTCGGTTTTCTATAATAGTTCAATTTTGTTTCAGTGTCCTTTAGTACAACGACGATTCCTGATGAGTGTTGTACGAAAACTTGTTTGAATCCATAATTCTTCTCTACACTACCGTACTGGCAATATATGTTGCCGCGTAACGCGTAACGCAGGGGGTGCGGCGTAACGCGCGACCAGGCTAGTGCGACAAATTTTCGTTGCGTTCGTAACGCGCGTCAGGCGGGGTGCGGCGATCTTTTCATTGCAGTTTGCACTGCAAAGGCTGAAAACTGTGAAAGCACGTGTACCGCGTGGCAAAAAAAAGGACTGCGGCAATATAGAAACCTGTGTAACGGCTCCTGTGCGACTTTGCATGTAACGCCCTGCGTGCGGCAAACATGTGCCAATGTAACGCTTCATGGCCTCACTGCGGCAACATATATTGCCAGTACGGCATTTCTTCCTATTTTCATCGTTTTATTGCACATTGTCTCCACCGTTTTACATGGCATGAAAAAGTATACAAAAATGTCGATTCAGCTTGTCCTATTGATACTTTCTTTAGTTTTTTTATACTGAAATGCACAGTCCAGCAGAGAACGGAATGGGAAGACAGAACCAAAGAGGAGACATGACAACACAGCGGGAAGCCTGAGCAGCGTGCTGGTGAATTGGGCCTCCCTTCCCCGACCATGGGTCTCGGGATCAGCGGCAGGATCAAGCACCGAATACAAAAAAATAAGTAGAGCAGAAAAAAAGGACATGAGCAACTTGTAAGGAAACAGAATTTAATGAGATGGCGAGTTGCCTGGTGTTACAGGTGTGGCACAGAGTGTGAAAAAGCATGATCAGCGTGATAGCCATACGGGGAAACTGTGGCAATAGACTAACATGTTCTAGAAATAGACTAGCAGAGGCTAAATGCAACGCTCTCCACACCGTCGCCGTCATCATCATCATTGCGGTGGCGCTGATTGGGAGAACACAACGCGCGCATCCACCACTTTGACAACTCGAAATCAAATTTTCGTTGTGACATGACATGATCTAAGCGACAGTGGCACAGAGCCTAGTCCCTACCTATTTGCTACACAGCACATTGGTCAGTGTTCTTCAAGGAGTTCATGTTTTCCTAGTAGGACTACTGAAAGTAGGATGGAAACTGGTCATTTGAAGTCGTAGTTTTGCGTATCCTTCCTGAGATTTGGCTTTCTGGCCTTCTTGTTAGGGTCCTCTCGGAATGATTTCTCTAGCTGGTCTGTTTTTTGCGCGCCTCTCTGGTATGCTCCGAAGACAGTTGACATTGTCTTGGAGAGTGAAGCAGCGTCGACCGTATCATCAAATACTAACGGTTGCGAGTAGGCTGGCACAATCTCTTCGGGCTGGTTGCCGTCCAGAGCGAGAAACAGCTGCTTGATGAGGTCTTTGGACACGTCGCTCTTCAGCTCCAGGCCAGTTTCCTGCCAGTGGGCAAGGCTTTCTTTCAGCTCGGTTTTCACCTGGTCACGGATAGCTGGATTACAGCTGCTGACTTGCATCCACATCAGAAGAAGAAATATGTTGGCATGGTGGACAGTCTGAAATACAAAGTGAGAAAAGGGAAAAGGAGAAAGAAGTAAATGGTTTTACTGAGACTTTCATACTAGGAGTAAGACAGCAACTATTGCACAGTGCTACATCCTTACCTACAGTCGGACCCAAATTTAGCCTTGGTAAGGATCAGTGATCAGGGATGGACTCACTAGTCCGGAAAGTACGGCATTGTCTGTAGTCATTTCTCGAAAGCTCTCACTGACTCGCATGGAATGTCTAGCGTGCAAGTTACTCCTGGTAGTTGTACAAGAAAATGGCTCAGATGGCTACTACGAGAACATGGCTCATGCTCGCACACTACCGTATATAGCTGGGGCCATCTATGAAAAACTATTGCTGTGGCGGTGGAATGGTGGCTGAAGGGGGACAATTGTTACATGGCCTAATGCTGCCACTTGCTAAGCTTAAAAGAGAGGACGAGGGAAAGAAAATGCACAGTCAATTTACCTACACTTTGCAGCCATTTTGGATCCAACAAGGCAGGGAATGCAACTGAATTCTGTCTATTGAAGTCGGAAACTTTTAAAGGAAAAAATCACGGTTCCTGCTAGGATCAGTTAGACTACTTGTATGCTTTTTCGCGTTTGTAGAAACGCCACAATGCCACCACTTACAAATCAAGGCTTGGGACTTGGAATAGCAGAGAGCTACAGCTTTCATAAGTGGCGGCTTACCCCTTTGATGGAAATGCCTTCTCCACCCTTGGTCCAGTTGTCAAGCATTTTTTCTGCTTCCGGTGAGAGTGGAATCTGCTCCCTCTCAAACTGCTCTGGGGACTCTAGCCGCTCCAAGATTTCCAATGTGCCGGTTGTCCACTCGAACACATCAACCACCATTTGCATGCTGGCTTGGTCTGAGCGCAGATTTTTCCGTTGCTCCAGTGCTTGAGCTTGCAATTGCTCCTGTCCTTTCTCGGCCTGAGATTCTTCCGCTTGTGTGTGAGTATCAGCGCTCCAATTATCCTGTCTGGCTGCATACCCCTCAGTAGGTGTGGATACATGCTTGTCCACATGATCAGCGGTATCCTTACTCCTGCTATCAACTTCTTCCTGGTATTCACCATCCGAGCACCAAGGGACTGAACTGCAGGTTGATCTGTATGAGTTAGAGGAGTCTACGCTGCTTTGGTGACTCAGAGAGCGACCAGTTGGTGTGTGCGGTGACTTATCATCATCATCATCATCATCATCATCATCATCATCATCATCATCATCACTGTTTTGATGGTTACCGCGCTCTGACTCGCCAACGATGCTGGATTCTGAATCTACAGCGTCACATCTCAGAGACTGTGTGGAACCGGTGTGTGATAAATCGATCGCTTTCTCCCCACTTGGACTTCTTTCATCAGAGGTTGCTGTCATATCCGTTGTAGTTGTACCTGTATGTTCCACTGCTTGAGAAATACCCTCCTCAGTAGCCGGTGGCATCTCATAATCACCACCTTGCTCCGAAGGCACAACTTGTCTCGCCTGAGCAGCAGACAAGTCAGTGCCTACTTCTTTCACTGAACTGGCGGTGCACGTGGTATCCGGCATCACCAGAAGGGGAGCTGCACGAAAACAAACACATTGGTAGAAAACACATGGTTAAGTCCTTCTGTCATAATGGGTACCACAGGTGAAGACAGCCAAGCCATTTTTGCTTTTGTTTTGCTTGAAGAGCAGTTATGTTGCACTGCCAGGAACTAGGTGTTTAGGCTTCAGTGTGTAGACTGTTAGCATCACTGGAGAGTGCACGTTGGCGATATACTGTGCCTCGTGCATGACATTATGACTCATTAATGTGGCTTGTATGGGACACAGTTGTTCATTATGTTTGACGATTTGCCTTGCATGGTATACGGTGCTGTATTCTGTGCATTGTATAGTATATAAGCATACACATCATTGTAATTATTATTATTGGATACTGTGCTGTGTGTAGCATACATCACTTTGTATGGTGTACTGTTCAATGTATGATGTACTGTTCAATGTATGGTGTACTGTTCAATGTATGGTGTACTGTTCAATGTATGGTGTACTGTTCAATGTATGGTGTACTGTTCAATGTATGGTGTACTGTTCAATGTATGGTGTACTGTTCAATGTATGGTGTACTGTTCAATGTATGATGTACTGTTCAATGTATGGTGTACTGTTCAATGTATGATGTACTGTTCAATGTATGATGTACTGTTCAATGTATGGTGTACTGTTCAATGTATGGTGTACTGTTCAATGTATGATGTACTGCACATTGTAAAGCATACTCACAACTGTGCAGTTAATGGTGTACTTAACATGTATTGGTACACTGACCATTCTACACTATACTTAGTGTCTGCTACAGAGTCGGGTAAGCGACTCGGTTGGGAGGTTCTTGGTCCAGCTTGGAAAAAGAACGCCGAGTCACTTGTGACCTGGTTGGGACTCAATCAGGCATTCATGAAGTCCTAAGACTCGCTGATGTACAATAGCCACACTTGAATGTACCCGGGACTGACCCGGTTGCAAGAGTTGTGCCAGGTACACGTACACCCGGTAAATTCATGTGCTTTGGACATGCTACAGTCACTGCGGTATCAGCCATACCATTCCTTGCCCCAGGCATCCCGTGAATCAATATACCGTAAAAGCCTGTGTATAGGCCCCGGGCGTATAGAATAGCAGCCTCGATTTCCTGGGCGTATACAAGGGCACGGGCGTTATTTTGGAACCGGGCGTATACTTGGAAAAGGGATAGCAGTAAGTATTGGGTATCAGTACCTGTACAGCAGGGAGTCGTAAGGTATTTTACGACTCCCTGCTGTATATGTACTGGTGTTTCCGGCATACCTGGGCGTATACATGGGCATGGGCGCTATTATGAAACAAAAGTGTTGACTTCCCCTGACTGGGCGTGTACACGGAGGGTGGGCGTAATTTCGAGTGGGCATATACAGGGGCTTTAACGGTTATGCACTGATTTGGGCTCTTCGATTCGAAAATATTCAGAGGAGCCACACCACCTCTGCAAGTAAATTTATACTTCAGGTGGCTGACTGTACCACCCTAAAATACCTTCCGGCGCCCCTGCCCCTGCCCCTGCCCCTGCCCCTGTGCTTGGTTTGAAATCCTAGAGCAGACATGGATAGTGTGGCTGGAACTGGACTTACCTGGAACTGCAGTTTCATCTACCTCTTCTTGCTCTGCGTCCACGTCACCCGTATCAGTATGTCCGGAGACATTGTCGACGGATTCTTGCTCTAGTGCGCCTATGCTCAGACAAGAATCTCGACCGGACTCAGGACTCGATTCATTGCTAAGGTGAACATCAACACCACCAGGCTTGTTTGAAACATTGATACTTGTAACACTGGCCACTGGTGGTGTATCACACCCGTCTTCATCCACTTTTGTGATAGAGGAGGCTTCTGTTGCCAGTGGTGCTGCAGAAGCTAGTACTTCTCCTGCTCCTGCTGCTAATGATGGTTCTGGTGCTGCTGCTGCTGCTGAAACTGTTGTTGCTGCTGCTGCAGTTGTTGCTGCTGCCGGTGCTGCTGCTGCAGTTGTTGCTGCTGCTGCTGCTGCTGCTGCTGATACTGCTGCTTGTTCTGCTGCTGGTGCTGCTTGTTCTGCTGAGTTGTCAAAGCATGATACTCCCTTATCCAGTTCACCTTCTGGTAATGATGTTTCTGACCTGTGCTCTGATTCTGGCACGACTGACGTTGGTGGCTTGGTTGGGTCTGGAACATGGGGCGTTGACTTCTCCACCCGCAGATCTGCTTGACGTGTTCCTGGCAGGTCTTTAGAGATGGTAGCTGGTGACTCTACTTCCATGTCTGAGTGTGTTAAGCCTCCTGTAGATGCCCCCGCTGGTGGACCTTCAGGAACATGTACACGCTCTTTATCTCTCGGACTGGGCAAGCTGATTTTCAGATCTGCAGCTCCTGGTTTGGAAGACACGCATTGCTCTTGCGAATCTAAACCTATTTCACACGAGGCTTTAGCGTGAAGCAACTCTTCTGGATCTGGATTGGATCGTAATTCCTTTCCCTCTTGCTCCGAAGTTTGTACTTGCTGCTCTCCTAGTTGAGAACTTGGTGATGTTAAGCTCTCTACTGGAGCTGAAAGTGATGGTACTGTGTGGGCCACTGACTCAGAATTTGATAACGACACTTCCTGCACCACTGGCTCTGGATTTTGGGCTGGTGGGTGGTCGTCTGGCTCCAGATTTGAAAGCTGAGTCGTCTCGTCGTTTGCTGGAATTGGTGACGGGGGCTGATCCTTTGATGTTGGAGTTGTTAAATGGGGCTTCTCGAATGCACCTGGGAGCTCTTGCTGATCCGCTAGCTTTGCAGTAGGAGACTGGGAGACCTTCTTTGGTTCTGGAATCGGTAGCGGAGGATCCTGAGTAGTTCCTGGAGCTGGTAGCTGTGGCGAGTTAGCCAGATTCCGATCAAGTGCAACCAACTGTACTGCTGGTCGTGAAGCGCATGCCTTTGGATGGCTTTCGAGACCTGCAAGGGACGTGGACGATGCAGTGGAACCAAAAACAGGCGTTTCTGACTGGTTGGATTGATCTGATGAAGGTGATTGCACATGCTCTCTTTGAGTCTCAACTCCAGATGTTGGCTGCTTAGTCAAATCTGCAGATACCACAGTGAAGACACGTTTGTACAAGATTTTGTACCCAATCCAATTTGAAACCCACATACTTTCGCAAAATGTGAGATTTCTTTTTGTTAAATGGTAGAGCAGTGGAGAGATTTTTGCAGTAACTCAGCCCACTTTCTTAGCCTAGATTAAGAGCCTGATAAAACACTCCAAACGAAATATCCAAAATCGTTCATCATAATAATAATAATAATAATAATATTCGCGGGATCCGCGTTAGCATCACTTGAATGTTCAGAAACACACAAGCTATAGCCTTCGCTTCCGCAGGCCACCACTATGCCTTTACACCTTAGTGTAAATCGTTCATCACACACACAATATGCATGTGTTTCATAACATAAGTAGCAGTACAGTGTCCAGTCAACCTTCAATCTCGCAAAAAATGACGATTCATGAATAAGAACTCTGTTTTCATGCCCGATCGAAGGGTCACTATTTGCGAGTTGACTGTAGACGATGACATACAGTAATGTGCTTCCCATGTTCACAGAGTGGCCAGTACATGTGTTCACAGAGTGGCCAGTACATGTATTTGATGGCACAGCATCCGTGCACAGAAAACCTTCAAGGCTTGTTATAACTATAACATAATACTAGTATCCATATTTACCTGTGTCTGCTGCCGCTACACTGTTGACTTCGGCATCATTTCCCGAAGCCGGCAGGTCCTCTGGAAACTCTGTGTGCATCTCCTCTGAAGATGCTGGTGATGGAGTCGAGGATGGACAAGTGTGATCTGTTCTCCCATCAGTAAGCTGCTGCACTGCCTGCAGGATAGCGCCACGTTGCTCATTCTCTGCATTATCCACAGCAGCTAGACTCGTCGGATCACAGCCAGGTAACTGGTGAGAAGTATGCAATGGTGTATCGCCTTGCAGGGCTGCACAGAGACAGCAAAGGAATCCAGTCACAGATTGCATTCATCTTGGGCACCCTGTAAGAAGACCTTAGGGTCTGTTGGGAATGCCCAAGTAAAATAATAAAATACAATACAATACAATACAGATTGCAGACGAATCCTTACGGGGACCGGATTGCATAATATCCCGATATTGGTAAAGCTACAGTTCTACATGCGCAAACTAGCAGAAAATATGATTTCCATGTATTAATTCTCATACAGTGTGACAGATCTAAGTTTGGTACCGTGAAAATAGGTTTCTGAAAAGAAATGTAGGCGGCTTCAGCGAGAATAGGTAAATCTATCGAACCTTCCACTTGGCAAACCTGCAAGAAAACACCACTCCCTGCTCAATATACAGTGTTTCGGTGAATTCACCCCTCATTACCGTATTTCCCCGTAAGTTAGTTCTCCCCAATGACTTAGTACCCCCCTATAAAAAATACACTTTCCACTGCCGAGGTTATCACCCCGAAAGACAGTCCCCCCCCGAAAGATAGTAAGTTTGTACCCATCCTACATGTACAGACACCGTACAGCACATACATCATATGCACGGACACTACAAAAAAAAGAGTTGCGCAGGCTTCCCACTGCGTGTCATTTACCCCGATAAAAAAGTACTCCCCGAAAGTTAGTACTCATGTGGCTGCTAAGTTCGAAAGTTAGTACGTACTGACTTACGGGGAAATACGGTAGTTGTGCTTGAGTAGGCTTATGAAACTTGTGCTGTGGGAACACTACAATTTATGGTGCTCTGGCAGCCTAAATATAACTTGGGATACTAGTCTACAATGACGCTCCGTTTCCAGTGCAACAAGCTCCTCACGAATTCCTCATAGCAGCATAAGTCACGGTTGTCCGTGAAGGTGAATAGTAAGCGCCGAGGACCGTCGTGCCCCCAAACAACTAGCGGTAAGCCATATTCTCGGAGTAGCACAAACTATTACAAAATATTTGTTTCGTCCTTTCCCAGACGAGAATCAAAATTGGAGCGCTTGTGGGAGATGCCTGGTTACTCTAGCTGTAGATTCCGGCTCAGTGGATGAGCAATGGGGGCTGTTAACGAGAATCTGTGTTCTTATCAAGGAACATTGTACAACATACAACATAGCAACTTACTGGTATCTGAAGGGAATTGCGAGCACTGCACATCTGATGTCTGCCGTTCTTCCACTTGTGTAATGGCTACGAAAGGCTGCTGCAGAGTTGCAGGTGTAATTTGACCACAATGAAGTCTGTCTGCATCTGATTCCACCGTTGAAGGCAGATCACCATAGGGCTGAACAGTGACTGCTTGTCCCGCTTCAACATGAGCCGGGCTACTGACGTGTCCCTGACTCAGGCTACAGACTTTACGGTGTTGCGACGGAGAATTTGGAAGTTCTGAAGTGTTGAAACACAAATCCAGTAGTGGACCAAAAACAAATCTTCCTGATTTCCATTAATGGGCATAGAAATGTTATAACACACATCACAAGCTACTGTGATCTTCATAATGCAAACATTCTCCAGGCAGGTGACAACAGGCTTATTCATTTTTGTCTAACTGCCAGCTTGTCAGCGTCTTAAAGATGGGTAATATTATTTTATTCAATGCAAAGGGAACGGTATGTTTAATACTGAAGTAGAATCCATAGCAATGTAAGTTTTGCTGTGTGTATTCCCGTAGTTATGCAGAAGACGTTACTTCAGTAACGTCTGGCGCTAGCCAGGGTCCACACAGCTTCGTTTTTTTGTTTGTTTGTTTGTGTCATGCCTGGCGCTATCCCGTATCTGTCCGGTACGTACCGTACCATCAAACACAGCTGGCCACATACAGCTGGCCGCAATATTCAAATAGGGCTTTCAAACACAAGATCATAACGTGAAGCAACTTGGAAGAATGAGTATGAATGCAAAGTGTATGGGGGAATGCATGTAGGGCGATAGTCCGGGTTCGAATCCCAGGTTATGCCTGAAAAAAAGGAGAATTGAAAAATCTATAACATCCCTGTGCTTTTTTTGCCTAGGTCATCAAGGCGGTAGACGGTTTCGTATTACCCTCGACCGTACCTGTCCCGTACCTGTCCCGTACCGTACCATCAAAGACGGCTGGCCACAATGCAGGTTTTTTCAAGTTTTTTTGGGTGCGGATGCAGTTTTGAGAGCTCTGCATCCTTTTGGGAAAGTCTTCGGTTTTAGGTTGTCCCATGTCAGGAGGTTTTTGCCCTGGCCATGGCGACAAGTGCAAGTAGTATCAGTATAGTGGTTGACCCCCTCGAATATGGGAGTCCTTCGCCCAGCTCAGTTCTTACAAACAAATGCAGTGATTGCCTAAACGGCCTGGCGGAAATTGTAGTTGAAATACAGCGAGAGCGACGCGAGGCAGCAGATCGAGAGAAGCGTCTGATGTCCAAGATTGATCTGCTCACCCGGAAGGTTGAAGAACTGTCTCTGAAAGCTGCTGGGTCATCGGCATTTGATCACGGTGATGGAATTTCCGAAAAAGTCGACCAAAAAACAACGAACAAGAAAGGCCAAAAAAATAGAAAAAACCGACCTGTTGGCGCTGCCACATCAACGAGTACAAATACGGGTACTCCAGGCAGCGACCACCATACGACGTCCGAGACCTCCGTAGCTGTCGACAGTTCCAGTTCCTCTCCTGAGAGCACAATCCTATCGCAGCTCGGAAATTCGAAAAATGCCTCCATCCCAGCGCAGAGTGATTTACTTTCTAATTTCGAAGAGGACAACAAAGACAGTGGAGTATGGGAACTTGTTTGTGAACGAAAGCCTGTCGGAAGGAAGTGTGTGATGTTCGTTGGCAATCTTCCCTGCAGTGATGTTCGTTGGCAATCTTCCCTGCAGTGCAGTACCTGAAAAGATTGCTGAGTTTGTGACCATCAGAGCAAGTGAAGCCAAAGTGAACGTCAAGATCTACGAATGCAAAATTTTCAAAAAGGAAAGGTCCTCCTCGGCACGCCTTGTTCTGGATGCTAAGAGTGCAGTACTAGTGAATTCGAGAGAGTTCTGGCCTAGACCTCTGTACTCACGTCTATGGAATTTTGACAAGTATGATTCTACTTCTCCACAATCCCGATCACCTGCGGGTGATGATGAGGCAATGGATCTGTTAAGTGGCCTACCAAATATCCGTACTGAGACACGCCCAGCTGATGAATCGTCTGGTGCCATCAAGGGATTATCTATCAACTCGGAATGACCAGCACGAGCACGACCAACACGCTCCGACTGTACCTAACGAATGCCTTTGGCATAGCCTCCAAATTTGGTGACTTCCGCCATGCTCTCGCACTCCACTCTCCCGACATCGCTATCGTTACCGAAACCAAGCTCACGGTGGAAAAAATGTCACAAGCCGAGACTGCCATCCCTGGCTATGGCCCTTCAATGCGGTTGGATAGGACGGCTCAAGGAGGCGGTGTCGCTGTCTGGGTGCACAACGACCTAGCGGCTATTGAGCTTGACATGGTTCACCGTGACAACCAGGAGATCATATGGTTCACCGTCCGTCTGCGATGTGGTCTAACAGCTGTTGTTGTTGCCCTGTACAGGCCTGGTAGTGCTCCGGAGGGTGACACCAGCCTCATGGAGTACCTTGATCGCACTCTCGATGCTGCCCGATGTCATGGTACCCAGTTGATCCTTGCTGGAGACTTCAACGTCCACAGCACCGACTGGCTTCATAGTACAAAGACAACACCTGCTGGCGAAGCAATGGAGGAGCTCAGTGCTGCTCATCACCTCACCCAACACGTGCTTGAACCAACCAGGGGCAATAACACCCTGGACCTGGTCCTTTCCGACTTTGACACCCCGGTCATGTCTACTGTGCACCCACCTCTCGGCCGATCTGACCATGCCAGTGTGATTACCGACTTCCTGCGTGCTCCACCACACCGGGAGCCTCCAACCTCGAGGTGCGTGTGGCGCTATAATTTGGCTGACTGGCCACGTTTAAAGCACTTCTTCCGGCAAACAGACTGGTCCTCTATCATCACTGACAACATTGACCTGTAATGCGAGCGGCTGACTGGCAGGATCTCTGAGGGCATGACAACGTTCATCCCGTCCAAGAGCCTCAAGCTGCACAGTACTGACCCAGTGTGGTGGACACCAGAGTGCACCGAAGCCACCAAGAGGAAGCGAAATGCATGGAAGCGACTCCGTCTGCATCCAGCAGATGCACAACTCCAACTGGCTTATACCCAAGCCACAGCCACTGCCTCAGCATGCCTTCAGAGAGCTGAAGATACCCATACAGCAGCCATCCGTCGAAGGCTCGCAGCAGGTGGTTTATCCAGTCGTGAATGGTGGTCCACTGTCAAGCGTGCCGGTGGGTGTGGGCGTAGCCATGATATCCCTACCCTCAAGGAGGAAAACGGCGAGGAGCTAACCACCACTAAGGACAAAGCAGAGAGCTTTGCCCGCTACTTTTCAGCGAAATGCAGCCTTGGTGATGACCTTGATGCCAGCAACCTCCCGTATGTACGCCCGCGATCTGATGCTTGTCTGAGTACCATCCACTTTAGGCCACGAACGGTATGCCGTGAACTGAGGAAGATTGTGCCGTCCAAATCCACTGGCTCGGATGGTGTACCAGGACGAGTGTTGAAGCAGTGCTGTGAGGAACTGTGCAGGCCTGTGGCCCAGCTCTTCAGCAAAGCATTCCGCCAAGGCCAGCAACCGTCACTGTGGAAGCTTGCCTCAGTTGTACCTGTGCACAAGAAGGGTTCGAAGTCCGCAACAAAGAACTACCGACCCATATTCCTGCTGCCAATACTGTCAAAGGTCATGGAAGCTATCATCAATCGTAGCCTTATGGGATTCCTTGAGCGCCGGCACATCCTCACCACTAACCAGTAAGGCTTCCGCTCCGGCCTGGGAACGCAGGACCTCCTTACCCTACTACACCATCGTTGGAGTACCGTGGCTGCAGGGGGCGGAGCTGTGCGGGTTGCTGCTGTGGATAATGCTGGAGCGTTCGATCGAGTCTCCCACCCAGGTGTGATCCACAAATCCCAGCAGTACGGTGTATCTGGCATGCTCCTTGCATGGTTGAGGGACTACCTGCTGGACAGGCGCCTGAGTGTTGTCGTTGGTGGGCAGTCGTCCAGCCCACACCGCATCACAGCCGGTGTTCCGCAAGGTAGCTTGTTGGGACCGACACTGTTCCTCCTCTTCTCGACCGATGCCGATGACCACCTTCCACCAGGTGTAGATCTGGCCGCTTATGCCGACGACACAACGCTGTTTCAGTGCCTGTTCACCATGGATACCATTGACCACAGCTCGACAGTCCTGCAAAATGCTCTCGATGCCCTTGTGAATTGGGGCACCAGCTGGAGAATTGTGTTCGAGCCAGCCAAGTCCCAGGCCATGACTATTGACCATCACCGCCTCGCCTGGGACCTCCCAGCAGTACAGTTTGCGGGTGTGTCCCCCTGAATGGAGAGAGTAACCTCAAGCTTCTTGGGGTAACCTTGGACAGCCAACTTTCCCACCGCAACCACCTCCGTACCATCGCCATCAGAGCACGCCAGCGTCTCGGGCTCCTGCGGAAGGCCTCTCCGCTCCTGGATTCTCGCAGCCGAGCTACAGTGTACCGTGGGTTTGTACGCCCAGTAATGGAGTACTGCCCATTGGTCTGGATGGGCGCAGCAGATTGTCACTTGCAGCGACTTGACCAGACGCAGTGCTCAGCCCTCCACTTGATTGGCCCCGGCGCAATGCTGCAAAGCCTGTCTATCCGGCGCATGGTAGCTGCGTGTACCTACATTTACAAGCTACTGTGCTCCAATCCTACCAGCCCACTTCGTCAGCTCTTGCCTCCCTCTCAAGCCCCCCGACCAGCCCATGTTCGACCCACTCGTCTCTCTCTCGTCCGTCTCGACATGCATAACTACCAGCTTGAGACAGGGCTACCTGTCAATAGCCGGGAAAGTTGCCGTAGAGCTTTCCTCGCCTGTGCTGTCCCTGTATGGAATGCCCCGCCACCCGCCGTCCTCAGCCAGCCACCTGACCGGAAAAGGCTGCAAAGTTTCAAAGTGTCTGTCTTCCGGCACCTCCGTGCCCAGCAATGGCACTGGGCCACTGACACTTTGTAAGATGTATGCACATCTGCCCACACACTGCTTCATATTGCCATACGCCTCGTGCCCTGCTTACTCTTTTCTCTGGATCTGAATGTGCACCCCTTACGCATTATATAATTATACTTTATTTAGTTCTCTCCCCCTCTCTTGCCCCCAACCCTCCCCGCTCGCTCTCTCTCTCTCTCTCTCTCTCTCTCTCTCTCTCTCTCTCTCTCTCTCTCTCTCTCTCATTGTTTTAAATACTTTATTTAGTTCTCTTGCTCCCCAACCCTCCCCGCTCTCTCTCTCTCTCTCTCTCTCTCATTGTTTTAAATACTTTATTTAGTTCTCTTGCTCCCCAACCCTCCCCGCTCTCTCTCTCTCTCTCTCTCTCTCTCTCTCTCTCTCTCTCTCTCTCTCTCTCTCTCTCTCTCTCTCTCTCTCTCTCTCTCTCTCTCTCTCTCTCTCTCTCTCTCTCTCTCTCTCTCTCTCTCTCTCTCCCCTCTCTCTCGCTCTCTCTCTCTTTCTCTCTCTCTCTCTCTCTCTCTCTCTCTCTCTCTCTCTCTCTCTCTCTCTCTCTCTCTCTCTCTCTCTCTCTCTCTCTCTCTCTCTCTCTCTCTCTCTCTCTCTCTCTCTCTCTCTCTCTCTCTCTCTCTCTCTCTGTCTAAGTCTCTCTCTCTTTCTCTCTCTGCTATTGGCGCGCCTGGTTGTGATGAAGCCGAGACTCAAGGTTGGCAGAGCATCCCAGACCACGCCACCACTCCCCTTATTCATGGCTCACACATGACAGGTTTACGTGGCTCTAGTAAAAAAAAAAAAAAAAAAAATATTCAAATAGGGCTTTCAAATGCAAGATCGTAACATGAAGCAACTTGGAAGAATTAGTATGTATGCGAAGTGTATCGGGGGATGCATGCAGGGCGATAGTGCGGGTTCGAATCCCAGGTTATGTCTTTAAAAAACAGGAGAAATTTATAAGAATTTATAACATCCCTATGCTTTTTTGTCTAGGTCATCAAGGCAAAAAGCATAGCGTAGGGCCCTGAGCTTCCAAGCTCTCTCGTTTGTGCATAGTCTGCACTCAGAGTGGAGCTGTGCGCAATCATCCTTTGATGATATCAAACAGACTTACGTCTTATGGAAAGAACTTGACTTGGTTTGATTTCACATGTGCTTGACTCCTGCACATCGCTAGGTTCCTTTTCCGTCTCTCCTCCAAGACAAAATGAACACGACTGACCCATTGTGAACAGGCCCTGTGGCTCAACACCTGCAGTAGTATCGGATGGAAAACAGTACTTCAGTGTAATGCACAGTGGCAATACAGTCGTCCCTCTCTAATCCGGCACCTTTTGCTACGGCGTTTTCTGCTGGATTAACGAGGGTGCTGGATTAAGAAATCCTGCCCTCTGACCCGGCCCTACCCAATTGCATGCATGTATCATATGTACGTCAAAACGCAGGGTTTTTCCGTGTCGACCCAAGTATTTGGTGCACGGCTTTATATTCTCAATTGTTCTCCGGGAATATACACAGTGATAAAGTGATAAAGTAAAACAGAGAACATGTTCACATGTACTCTTGCACACACACACCTCGGAAAATTGGCAGGACACTACTCCTTGCTAAAATAAGAAAGTATGGTTGACTGCCGTTGTCTCCTGGACAACATCGACCAGACTGGCCTAACCTGGAGTGCACCTGTGCGGTACGCGATTTACGACTGCCGGATTATGAAATCAAACTACGTGCAGTTTGAGCGATTCATTTCAAAAAGTCACTGCCGGAGGCGGAATTCAAGTGCCGGATTAAGATGTAGGAATTGAACGGAAAAAATTGGTTTCGTCAGAAAGTGCGCCGGTTGGCAAGGGTTCCGGATAAACAAGTGCCGGATTAGAGAGGGACGACTGGAATAAAAATAATTTCCGCATGCATTCTGGGTGGGGCATAGTTGACAAATCAGGACAGAAAATTCCAAGGAATGTTTTATATCAGCAGATGGCTGCTCCTGACCCTGTGGCAGACCTGGTCACACGCACTGCCATTCATCCCCTCAGGTTTTATGTGCAGCAGCGCGTACTATGCTTTATCTGGCTCTGCCTTCACGATGCCTCGAGCCACCTATTTAAACTCTTCTTCTCCATCGTTCCATCTCAGAGACTGCAGGGTGGTAGTAGTAACCTGCTCCTTATTCCTCCAGCCATTACTACACACTCGGCCTTATTCCGCCAGCCATTACTACGCACTCGGCCTTATTCTTCCAGCCACTACCACTGACTCGGCCAAGCGCATAACGCATGCAGGTGCTGTGCTATGGAATGTTCTGCCTCCAGAAATTAGATGCATTGCAAACTTGCCAGTTTTCAAGCCCAACGCCATGAACCATATATCGCAAAGTTGTCTATAGACCTGGTCCATTGGTACTCTTGCTAATGTTTTGTACTTTCTCTCCCTCCACGACTTCTTCCCCCCCTCTCTCTCTCTCTCTCTTTCTTACTCACACTATTGCTTTTCCCATGTCGGTCCAGTGCCATTAGTATGCTGCCTGTTTTGGATTTACCATTAATGAAGAATACAACAACAACAACAACAACAACATAAGGGCTCGCGTTTCCTGGCGGACTCACACAGGCTTCCATCTGAAGAACAGAAGAAGGACCTTTCATTCGGCAAACCTGAAAAAACGCACCAGTCCCTACTGGGTGCTCACAGTGGTTCAGCAGGGGTGGATCCAGGGGGGGGGGGGGGGGGGAGGAACCCCATAACCCCATGTAAATCAGGGAAGCCAACCCTCATCATTCTTCTGAGCTTTGAGTAGCCTAATGAAATGTATGCTACAGCAGCACTGCACATGATAGCGCTCCCGCAGCTCCAACATACTAGCCAAACGAAATTACTGCGATGCTCTCTTCCAGCGCGACAAACACCTTGTCTGCGTTATGCAGGGATATGAGTCAGTGTTGTATGTGGAGTTTTGGGAACAGATCCTTTGGGCCATTGGAAATTTGCAAAGATGTGTCATCAAACTACTACTGCCCCCACCACCACGCCCGGCCATATGAAAGGATTGTTGAGGTAGATGCACTGCGAATGGTCAATGACTATCTGCGTCTTTCCTCACAACTCCATGTGCAACACTAACTCATATTGCCGCCTTTCTGCTCACGAGGCGTTTCCTACGCTGGAAGTGTATCAACGAGTATGTTGTATCCCTAGTGATGTTCGGGATGCTGGAACACTATATACTGTGTTATAGTACTCCTGCAGCACAAACTTCAGTAGCCTATCCGAGGGGGGGGGGGCTCTGAGGGGTGAATCCCCCCCCCCCCCCCAAAAAAACAAATATGGCATCGATCATAGAGTACCAGGGTGCTTTTTTGAAGATCTATCCAGTGTAAGGTCCCTGCTTCTAGTGTGTCGCGAGCATGCTACTGCAGGACCTGCTATTATTCACTTACTGCGGAACTGCGATCTTGTCTGCTGATGAAGACCCTCGCTCTTCGCGGTAGGACGCGCGTGATCGCGTGTTCTCCACTTGTGACTCTGGCTATGTCGTAGATCTACTGGAAGCGGAGCTGGATACGGGACTTTCGGAGGTAGAGCTCTGGTGGCTGTGACGGTATTGTCAGTTGAGCTTGTGTTGAGCCCAGCAAGATCCTTGACGTCAGCAACGCGCTCCCGCTGCGGAGGTTCCGATGCGAGAAACTCGAGTGGTACCTGGTCGCTAGCTTGACATTCGATCTCTCTTAGCGAACTCTTGCAAGTCGGACTAGTCGGAGCCGTGCGAGGAATTCCGACCTCTGCCTCGTGATCCTCTTGGCTTCGCGGGACTGGCCGTTGCGCGAAGAACACACGCTGATTGTCTTTCAATAGATCCACCCGCACTACAAGATTGCAGCTGAACGGCATATCTTCATATTGAAATGCAAAAATCCAATCGCGAAGGCCAGTTAGTTGACCCTTGCAGCTCTGCTCCACAACTGAAAATGGTTCGGAACAACAGTTACATGAGGATGTGGTTCAACTACTCCGTAGATGCCCAAGCCGCTAAACACGCTAGTCCAAACAAGCCCTCTACGCCTGGCAGGGGTATGAACTAGCAAGGCAAAGGCTTGGTGGGCTAAGACGAGCAAAGTCACAGATCCTACTTGCCCTTGCAGCGTGCGTCTCCGCTCCGCCGCCTACCGTGAGTAGGCATCCGGCCGGGTACCGGGTACGTCCACATGCGGTCAGCGGCTTTATGTCGAAAGTCGCCCGCTCAGCCGCGCACCCGCCGCGGTGTTCAGGGTCGGTAATGATCGAAAATAAGCAGCCAGTTTGGTCGTATATCTAGTACCATGCAGTAGAGCTACAATGTAATTATGTATCCGTCTGTCCATGTCAGTATTACATAGCTGTGTAGAATGAGTCAAACTCGCCATGACGATACAAAGTTAGTTAGTTAGTTAGTTAGTTCAGGCAGATAAACACATCATAATCATTATTAATTTTATCATAGAAAGCAGGAAAATAATTCCATTGACATGTCAGCCTACGGCAGAGTCGTAAACGCTGTGGTCGTACATGGTGTTTTCGTGTACTCTACATTGTAGTCTACATGTAGACTCGTGAGCCACGTAACAGCCACGGCCTGCACGGCTGCAGCCACCAGGCTCCGAAAAACATTGACAGCTACACTCCGCTTTGACATACACATTGCACACTCGGAGCAGTCATCAGGTCATCGCTTTGACTGGGTCTGTGGAGTGTGGATGTCATGCTAGCACGGACCGGTACGGTGCGCAACCAGGACAAGCAAGGAGGGCATGCATGACCCCCATGGGCTAGAGCAGGGGTTGTATATGCAAACGTGCAAACACTGTTGACATTTATCTCTGCGCGTCTGTCAACACGTTTTGCGGTTTTCCTGGTGCAAAAAATGCCTCAACCGCGATTCGCGACAGGTAGTGAAACTGTGTCAAAATATAATGTAGATCTCTATTATACTAGCTTTCGAAGTGTAATACAATCATGATAATTACCGTGCTTCTGTCCCCAGTACTAATGGCTAATGCATGTTATCCATGTGCTCATTATGGAATAATGCATGCGGAAAGGCGGTTGAAGCACATATTGTTTTCAATGTCTATGGTCAAACGTGTGAGACAACCACATCCCGGAAAGCTATCACTGGTAATAATTGCACTGGTGTAGTTAGTAGGTGTACCATGGTGTACGGACGTGCAATATTCTAACTGGCCATGGGATCGCGGCGGAGGTCTACGTGTCGTACATGTCGAAAGTAACATAGTTTGCTGCGCACCTGTAGATCTACTGGGTATGGTGAGAACTCCGGTTAGGCACATTGAGATAGCGCGTGTTTTCTGCTGCTACTGCTGCTGGACACGCCAAAGCCGCTCTCTAGCCTCACTGACATGCACGGACCCACGTTCTCCGTTGCACCGAAGCGACATTCACAGAGAATACCATCGTCCCAGGTTCTGTCTGGCTATAACCGAGATGCAATGTTTCAGCCTCACGAGAAAACTGAATATTTTGTTTGCAAAAGTAGTGGATAAAGGCGAAGAGCATTCTTCGTTAGAGCTGCAGCATTCCTCCTGCGTCTGCCCGTAGGTGAATGTTTCTTTTTGGTGATTGAGACGAATTCTGGAGCAAGGCTACATACATTCTCCTCTTGGACTGCCCATTGAACGCTTAGATGGGGAAGCCTCGGGGTCGCCATTCTCGTCATGGTGAGCACGTTCTGTAGAAGTACAAGTACAAGTCGTATTATGAGCACGACACGCGAGAAAAAATGGCATTGGTCAATTTTTGATCCTTTCACTGCTTATTCGAAGACCGTTTATCGAAAAATCCATGCCGGAAAATGAAGGGAAAACCCAATGGTAGTGCATGACATACAAACTACAGGCAATTATTAATCGCAGTCACTACAAGCAAAAGAAGATCATCATTTTACCATAGCGCTTATCGGGACGGGGCCCTAGCTAGAGCATATTATGTAGTAATCATGTGATCGACTTTCTGAATAAAGAAGGTCTCTGTTTGTTGCATGTGTTAGAGTTTTCCGTAGTCTGAGCCTTTAGCATGAAACTCCAAGTACGAGTCGTAACCTCAAAGTACACAATTTTCTTCTTGCCTTCTGAACATAAATATTATGCAATCACAGTAAATTCTGCTACTCCTGATCGGAAAAGTCTTGATTACTATTTTTCAAGGCCGAGCGTAGTGAAAGGGTGCAATATACTTGTCTTTCACTCACATACGTTCAAGTAGCTGCTCTTGTTCTGCGCAACTGCATAAAACTGGCCATCGCCGTGTTTGTTTTCCTCGGTGTAGTGACGTTCGTCACTAGTGTGATTGCTATGATAGATCACTACGCCATGTGCTGGACAGTTAATCTGCAAGTGATAAGTGATGTGTTTGAAATTGCAGCGCAGGCTGGTAATGGTGTTCCAAGATGTATTGTGCAGGAGACTATTATGGAGATCGACCATCTTGCAGATAACGACATTTACGGTGCTCCTTTTGTTTCTCCAGAGACTACAGCGCCCGGTACAACCAGATCACACCACTGCAAAACGCAACGAAGGGGACATCAAGACAATGCTCATCTAGTGAAATTGTCATGTCGTAAAGCAAGCACCAGTACGGCTTCAAGTCGGAGAGCTCCCACTCGTCAGCCGGTCATCCCTTCGCACATACTCACATCTACTGTCGCCCACCTACAACCAGCTTTGCACGAAACAAGCTCTAGTCTGCAGGCAGGTATCAGACCTCAGCCGCATCGCAGAGGGACTACAGACAATTATACCCAGGAAAGACGTCAGGCATCAGTATTGGAAGCTTCAAATTGGGATAGATCTTTAGCCATGGCAACACCAATGGAAACAAGAAGCACTAAGCCATCGGAACCAGAACGACAAGGCATTGAAACGCAGTTTCAGGGTCTGAATATATCACCAGCGACTGCAGGTCACCCTCCCAGCAAGGTCCCCTCACATCCGGCGCAGACGCCCATTGGACGTCAGGCAGCGCAGACCTTGGGGATGACAAGTGTAACACCAAAAGGTCACAGCTCCTATGCTTCTGCAGTTTCTTCTACTTTCCATCTTGTCAGTATCCCTGCTACTGTTGCTGGTACTGCAGCTGCGTCTGGTGGTGGTGCTGGTGGTGCTGGTGCTGGTTTTGGTGGTGCTGGTGCTGGCTGTGGTGCTGGTTTTGGTGGTGCTGGTGCTGGCTGTGGTGCTGGTTTGGGTGGTGCTGGTGCTGGTAGTGGTGGTCGCGGTCGTGGTGGTGCTGGTCGTGGTCGTGGTGCTGCTACGGCGGATGATGTTAGTGCTACTGCCACAGTTTCTCCACATTCCACTATTGCTGCTGTCCCTTCTGCTGCTGCTGCTGCTTATGATGATGATGATGATGTGTCTGATTTGTCACAAGGTGCTAACCAGACTGCAGGTGAAGCAAACCCACGCACACCAGCAACTTTCGAAAATCTACCAGCTGATCTGAGCGATATTGTTGACTCTCACTTTAAAACTCAGGAGCAGCTCCAGCAGGAACAGCAGCAGCAGCAGGAACAGATGACATTTCCGCGGACACTCCAAGCCAGCAAATCAATGGTGTACGATGTGTACACATGGACTCTAGGGCACATTGAAATCCTGGAAAGGCTTGAGCTGAAAAAAATGAATAAAGCGCTACCTTCACTGTCATCAACCAGCAAGGAGCTGTACAAAACCATGAAGCACAATCATGACGGCACCCCGATCACTGTTGATGAGGTATGTTGCGACAGTTTTCACGTTCGAATTTACTGCCGACGTGAATTTCTCTTTCTTTGTGCAAAGTATGAAAGAGCTTCCAGGACCAAACAGAGCTGTTCTATGCATGTAGTATTGTTGTATACAGCATTTTTGTATTTGTTTTTAGTTTACATTGTACATCGCAAGTCAAACGGGCAATCATGCCCAATGTTATGATGACAATGGAAAGGGAGAAAGATTTAAGAACAAGAATAGATAACCTGGGGAGTGAAGGAAACAGTGAGTCAAGAGTCTCTCAGAGAAGTGTTTACTGGAATACCTTTTGTAAGGGTTTGATATCACTGTCGGGGGTCAAAGAGATACATGTCCTTGTGGTCTTGGGTCAATTGCTTTAACGGTGGCAAATATGTCTACTACGTTACAACGTACTTCGAGTATACATCAAGTAATGGTGGTCTATAATTATGTGCTGTACTGTCTTGGGTTGCTTTGTTTCCCCCAGATGATTCAGCGATGCAACAACTACATTCTGATCCTAAAGATCCAGATGGACTCCTGCCACCCAGAAGCACGTCATCAACTGAAGGAACAGCTGAGGGAAGAGGTGGCTGATTGGATTCGTACATGCAATATGAGCATAGATAGTGTTCACCATTTCACAACGAATATGGAGCGAGCAATTCAGCAGAAAGAGCCCGAGCCAATGCCAGCAAGAACACCCCTACAACCACCGCATTCATCATCATTTATGCCTAGCACATTTGGACGTGTCCTCCAGTTTGTCCAAGGTGCTTTGGCAAGGAACGACGAGATGGAGAAGGACTACGAGGAGAATCCCAATCGGCAAGCGCTACTTCCCGAGTTCCGGAACCATTTCGATTATCGCTGATTTACATTCTTTGCTATGACATCACAATGACATCACCACTACATCATCATGACATCGCCATAACATCATCAAGGCATCATCATAGGCCATCATATCAATAAGAGTTTTAGTTCACGTTAAGTTTTATTCCAAGCAATACATGGCTGGGGAAGCCAATGACCACTTTGCGTGGCGATTGTTGGGTTTTTATAGCCATCCACGGCCAGCAAGAAAGGAAAAAGAAGGCGAAAAGAAAAGGAAAAGAGAGCACATAGAAGCAGAATTTCATGTCTTTTTGCTAGTGCTTTTTCTCTTCTATTTTTGGCTTAGTCCATTATCACTGTACACGTGTATGTCATAATTGACATTCTTTAGGCATAACCACGTCATCTATTTGTTCATAAACGTATCCATTCTCACATTACGCAGCTCCGCACAGGACATATTGGAGCGAGCCACATTGGCCTCTGTCCGCACACCATGTATTCACGTTAATTATAGCTAGCACATACATGAAGAAAACACTATTGATTTATGGTTTTTCTTTGTCTTTATACCCGTATCCATTCGAATATTGCATTGCAAAGTGAAAACACTCGATACTGTGAAGAGAGTAGGATTTGCTGGGACTGATGGGCGAAACGGTTCAAGTAGACGCTGGAGGCTGAACTATTCTGCCCAACCTGAAGCGTTTTCTCATTCACAGTGACGAGCCTGACATCCCACAACACATATCCATGTACACAGTCACTTCAGACACTTTGAGTGCATGTACGGTCATGAAGTTGCAGGGAGGGTGGAAAACACGTTTTCTGTACACGTGTAGGATAACGCTATCAGCAGGCGATTTCTTTTTGATTTCTTCTTCGTTTTCTTCCAGCTCAAGAGTACATAACAAAATTTCCACGTTCTCCTCTAATCTACTGTACTTTGATTGCATTAGTTTTGTCTCACTGATGCGTAAAAGGATGATCCTTTTACGCCATCACGTATTTCAGTTGTGGCAGTAATAGAATTCCACAACCCCACCGCCACCAACTAACAGTTACTTTCATTCATTCTGCATGCATACTCGCAACGCGGTATTAGACTGGTGATTGAGGTTCGCGGATTCTGAGCTCTGTAGTACCATTGCTAATGCCAGTATGTGTCAAGTACATTGCTAATGCCTGTATGTGTCAAGTACATTGCTGATGTAGCTGCTGATATAGAGAGGAATAATAATGATGACAATCACTTGGTGACACTGACAGGCAGACAGCTGGCGCCAGGCATGTTCTGGAAGACAGCCAGGCAGGTTCTGGAAGACAGCCAGGCAGGTTCTGGAAGACAGCCAGGCAGGCTCTGTAAGACAGCCAGGCAGGCTCTGTAAGACAGCCAGGCCGGCTCTGTAAGACAGCCAGGCCGGCTCTGTAAGACAGCCAGGCAGGCTCTGTAAGACAGCCAGGCAGGCTCTGGCAGTACAATTATGTACAGCAACATACAATGTACGTGTAAGTGCTATTCTGCCAGTGCCTAAACCTGCACCTGCGACATAACACTAACAGGTAGAATATCTAAACGGAAATGCGATGTCCTCAACTGTCTACGGTAAGGCCTTGGCTGCTGCACTGGTTGTTATGATGATTCACGAGATGTAGAAGTTATCATGTTTCAACACCGACCCTGCGCTACCTGGGAGAATACCCTGTCTGACCGGGCCTTGACTGCTGTAATTGTGATAATGGTGTTGTACGAGCGGTAGATGTGATCATGTTTCAATATCGAACCTGTCCTCCTACATAAAGGCATACCCTGTCTGCTGAAGAGCGCAAACTAGACTGAACGCCGTGCGTTGAGAAGTCTCTGAAGATCAGTCTGCAGTAGTCAGTCAGTTATCAACCACTCCGTAAGCAATTGATCGTGTCCGCTTCAGTTCTTCCTCGCGCACAGAATGGCCGACGGTGAGCGGTATGTCGAGCTACATATGGGGTGCCCAGCGGTGGGCTAACCTAACACCAGGTAAGACATAATACCAGCTAGGACAAAACCATCTCCATGTGCACACATACATTGTACACACTTTTCGTTTCCGCACTGTTCTCATCACTTTCCTGCAGCACCTCATTGCATATCTACTCAATCCCGTTTTTCGTTCCCATTAGTGTTTCTGTTTTCACATTGACAATGGGCCATTAGTGCCCGATAGTTTGGTGAACAGTTTAAATGACGTATACAACAAAGAGACCTCATTTTCAGTGTTTGAGTTGAGGTATGCTATTCAGAACACAACCATTGTGCGAGTACAGAATCTGTTGAAATGTGCTCAAATGCAGTGGGACGTCAGCGGAAATTGAGACTGCGTGGAGATTTGTATCATATTCACTGGTTTGAGGGAAAGACGCAAATGGGAAAAGTCTGAAGAAAATATTGACTGTCACCACCAGGACTCGAACCAGGGACCCTCGCTTGTAGCTAGCGATGCTCTAACAACTGAGCTATGGTGTCGTCGTCATCCCAGCAGAGACCGTTCAACCATTTCCTCAGGCTTCGTAACTCGCACTTCCTGTGAATTCACACAGGCGGGTGGGACGAAGCCCCCACTGTAACCCACACATTTCACGTACAAACTAGCACACGGGGAGCCCCAAGTCATAAAGTATTCTTTGTATCACCAAAGGCTTTGCCTGTGTTCTCACTCTACATACTACATTTTCAACGTGTCTGGAGTATTAGAGTACTGTTTGACGTTGAATCCATTATCATCTGATCTCTATGCAGAAACCCAGACGTGGTTAACAAACGATGGCGTGGCTCCAAATGTCGTGGTGTGATAGAGATCAGTCAGTTTGGAAATTTGAGATGCGAGCACACCGGAGGTTCATCAAAGTGTGTCCAGGGCAAGATGTATTCGTTTCGCTTCGACTGTGGACTTCGCGGACCGGACTCTCCACATGACAATGGACTCAGCCGATTCCGCGAAGCAGATCGCCAGGGCATTAGCCACGCGATAGCTGCAGCAATGGCAATGAACTACCTTTCGCCCAACGGCCTGGCATGGGTGACCAGCCTGATGACAGCCATAGCACAGCAATATTCAGAACTCGATAAATGATTCTTTAATGATGTATAGAAATAACATGCTGCAGTTTAATAACTACATGGTATAGTTCTGTAACATATACTTACTTCCAAGTACAACCCGAATTCGTACTTTCTCTGCAGAACTGATTCAATGAACAGTCAAACGTGTAGTAATATTGTGTCTTGACTCTGAAACTAAAAATACTTTGTTCTACATGTTGATCACTACGTATGGCACACTTCTTGGGATATTCGACTGTATATGCATGTGTGTGTATGTGTGTGTGTATGAGTGTGTGTTTGTGTGTGTATGTATGTGTGTGTGCGTAACCCCGCCCCACCGTGTATGTTTTTGTTGTTGAGACATGCAATATAAAATTATTGCATCTGTGTGTTTAATGTTGCCTTGGCATGATGCCATGAGAGGGCTGAGAGAAACACACAGCGGCAGGGTCAAAATAACGTAGAGGTCACCCTCACACATGGCATGGCACGGGTTATCAACACAGCACTGATGCATTTGCATGTTTTGTGCGAGATACATAACAAATCTTACAAGTGACATCATGACTGTACGCAAAATACCACTCTACAATCTACAGTTGTCCACTCCACTAGAGACACAGAGCTATGTGTAAGAAAAGGTTTTCGAAGTTACAGTGGATGCAGGTACCGGTGCACTACACAAGAGAGAGATTGGAAGCTTTGTTACAACTCTGAGTTTCACGTATTACTACGATCATCAGGCAATATATTTATTATTATTAAAAGCATGTCCGCGTAGGTGGCGGGGGTGCCACTTTCGCTTATGCCATTCAGGATTGATGTCTGAAGAGTAATACGATACAATGAAATGACAGAAGTGACGTCAACAAAAGCCGTTAGCAACAACACAAATATGACTAATGGAAAACTTCATCCAAAGTATAAAATAAAATAGAATATGCATACAACATGTCTGGTCAGTCCTGTTAGGTGGGGCGGGCTCCACGCCATGCCTGTCGGTCCGCTGCCATTGTGCGGACTGCGTCAACATCTAGCGGCTGGTGGAGGGTAAGTCCATGCCATGATAACAGTTCCGTCTGCAAGACCGTTACCAAAGTCGTCCGAGGTCGACCCCTGAAGCGTTCAGTGCCCTCGTCGTTGGCCAGGCGAAGATACATATCCACTGCCAACTGTGGAGGAGCAGTTGGGGCCAAACGAAAGATATGGCCAGGGAGACTGTAGCGCTGCCTTGTGATCATCTCGCTGATGGGGACAGCTCCGCAGCGCTTATACAGAGTGTCATTGCTAATTCGTTTAGGGTACCGCATGTCGATGATGCTCCTTAGCTGGGTCCTGTGGAACGAATCCATTCGCGCGAGCTCCGACATCGGTAGGCCCCAAGTGCCGCAGTTGTAGGTAAGGACTGGGATGACGTAGGCGTTGTAGAGCCTCAGCCGAAGACCTTCACTGATCTGGCGCCTCCGGGTCCAGATCTTGAGGAGTGAGTTGAAGGCGGCGGCGGCCAGTTGACGCCTCCGAGCAGCATCTTCGGCGTCACCCAGGAGGGAGCCTAGTTTGCGGACAGTACGCCACGTTTCTTGGTTCCTATCGGGAAATCGGGCGACGGTGGTATGCTCTGTCTTGGAGGGATTAACGTTCAGGTTCCATCTCGCAAGAACTGCTGGAGCTTGTTGTTCAACTTCACTGAGAAACGTCTCATCCCGGCTCACAAAATCAACATCGTCCGCGTATGCGATATCCAGCGGCAGGTCATTGTCCACAGCAGGGCGAGATGGCAGCTCCTGTCGTAGGTCCCGGAGAGCAGCCTCCAGGTAAATGGTGAAAAGCACTGGAGAGAGACTGTCCCCTTGAGGGACTCCGATATTTGTCTTGAAGGAGCTTTTCGATGCACCTTTCACACGAGGTTCAAGCCAGGTTTCAGTCAACAGTATACGGATCATTCGGAGCTCACTTTCTTGGAGGAAGGATTCAAGGATCCTCATCAGGACATCGCGGCGGACAGTGTCGAATGCTTTACTCATGTCAATTCCCAATATGTGGATGGACGTATTGAATCGCTGCGTCATACTACATAGCCATCTATGGCACCACACCACATCACTTGTGCTGCGGCCACGACGAAAAGCACTTTGGGATGTAGCCAGGTACTGATCAACCGCTGGCTGTATCCTCTTCAGCACAATCAGGGACAGCGTCTTTCTCAACGCCGAGAGCAGTACGATAGGGCGCGTACTAGTAAGCGGCCCTAATGGTTTACCCGGCTTCTGCAGCAGTATTAGGGTTCCTCTGCCAACTTCGAGTGGGTCATGTGTCTCAATAGCTCGGTTCAAGATGTCGGAAGTCATCTCAGCGACAATGGGAGGACTGTACTTGAGTAACTCTCCGGAGAGTGGTCAGGGCCTGCCGCTCTCCCGTTATTCAGGCTTTGGAAGGCCCTCCTAACTTCGGACGATGTGATTTGATTGGGGAGAGGGCTGGGATCACCTAGGAATTGTGGAATGTCAGGGAGGGATTTATCATGGAATTGGCTTTCATAATGCTTGATGATGAACGCCTGCTGGTCTGCAGGGTTGATAACGACCCGCTGCTTCTCATCATGAATAATAGGCTGGCTGTACGGTTTTCGCTTCAGTAGCTGGACAGCACGGAACATCTTTGCCCCACTATCATGCAGTCGCTCCACTTCCTCTGCTTGACGATCCAAGGCTCTCTTGGCATTGTCAGATGCGATATCACGAATTTCATGCATTGTGCGATTTCTTTGATTTTTTAGTGACTGTCTTTTCTGGTCATCCCTGCACTCTCCAATCGCCAGGCGAAGATCTTTCTGCTTTCGTGACAGCAACTCAATTTCAGGGGAGAAGTCATGGCGGTGATGTTGTCTCTGCTGAGTGCCGGCCGAATCCAGTGCTGATTTGCTGAGGACTTCAGATAAGGATTCCCAGACTGCTTGGGTGCTGTTGGTTTCTGATGACACGCTGCACTGGACCTGGGTCTCCACAGTTCTCTTGTAGGATTCCCGAATTGCGACATCTGAAGCAAGCTTTCCAGTGTCAGGGCGGATATTGCCGGCAGTGGTCTCGCGTTGGTGCATACCCAGAACATCATAGAATCTCGACATGTCCAGTCTCGCCACAACTAGGCGATGGTCGGAGAATACATATGTTCCCGCATACGACCTTGCGTCTGTTAGAAGGGGACTCTGGTTCTGACGGCAGCAGATGTAATCTATCATATTGTAAACAGGAACACCGGAATTGTCACGGCAAGGGCCTTGCCACGTTGTTTTATGTCTAGCGCTGTGCTGAAATGCTGTGTTGCCAGCGAACAGGTTGTGAGCTTCAAGGAAACTAGCAAAAACTCCACCACTCAAGTTTCGTTGACCGCGGCCATAGCGTCCAAGAAAGGACTCGCCACTTTTGCGTATCCCTAGCTTCGAGTTGAAGTCACCAGCTACGAACAATAATCCACTGGAAGCGTAGTCAGTCACGGCGTTCGCCAAACTGTCAAAGAACTCACTTTGTTCATCCGGGCTGTTGTTGGACCGTAGGCGTTGATGACCGTCAACGATGATTTTTTGCTATTGGGAAATTTGAATTGAATACCGGCCGCTCTGTCAGAAATACGCCAATACCGGCTCATACAGTCCTTGAGGGCGCCTCCAACGGCAAAGCCCATACCGTAATGCCTGCACTCTGACGGCAGGCAGATGATTCTCGTTCCGTTGCCCAGCGTTTCATCAAAAGAATTTACTATTTTCGTTTCTTGAAGACAACAAACATCGACTCGGTACCTCGCGATATCCCGAGCAAGCTGCTCCCGCTTCACCTGACTAGAAATACCTCTAACGTTGAAACTTCCTATTGATATATTCTTTAGACCAGTCCTGAATGAAGAAGACATTCTCCTTTCGCGAGAGAGCGGAGTCACCCAACTACACCTGCATGTTTGCACTAGCTAAAATGCTTGCAAAGTGGCAGCCGAAGTCGTGCAGCCGAACCAACGTGGCTTGCAATGCTTTGCTAGGCTTTTCTTTCACTATATCTTTTTGGGGGGCTGCACGCTGCTCTACATTGCCGGAGACTTCAATGCTAAAGCTGGAGTCAGAAGACCTGGCGAGACTGCTGTGGGGAGTCATGGCAGAGGAATTCGTAATGTGAATGGACAGTCACTTGTGGACTACTGTGACAGCAATGGCCTGTTCCTAGCCAATACCACTTTCCAGCATGCTGCTAGGCACAAAACCACGTGGACTGGATGGCGAAGAGACGTGGCGTCTGGGAAAACAGTGCCTATATTCAACCAAATTGATTACATTGTGTGCCGTTCATCCCACAAGCGAATGCTGCAAAATTGCCGGAGCTACGGAGGAATGGAGATCAGCACCGACCACAAGCTTGTTGTTGCGGATTTGGATCTAGCCAGGATTTACGGTGTTCTTGGAGCATGTCAGCCGTCAAGTGCAAGACACAGCACCGCATCCACAGGACTGGCGCTGAATGTCAGTAGACTCGTGGCGGACAAAGCAATACAGAAACGGTACCAAGAGAGGCTGTCCTCCATCATACCTCCAGTCTGTGACGGTGCCAGGCCATGTGACGAAGTCTACAATGACATCGTGACAGCTGTTAAAGAAACCGCACACAGCACTGTCGGTCAAGTAAAGAGAACCAAGACAAGAAAACAATCGAATGATCCCGAAATTGAGAAGCTGTGAAAATATCAGAAGGAACTCAGGTTGAGCTGGATCAACACCCCGGATGGAGATAAAAGGTCAAGGCTTTTAAAGCAAGATCGCAACGGGGTTCAACATGAAATTAGACAGAGATGCAAGAGGGACGCGGAAAGGAGACTGGACGCAATGGCTGAGGAAGTTGAGAAACTATGGCGGGCTGAGCTCATGAGACAAGCAAAGTGTTGTTGTTGTTGTTGTTGTTGTGTTTATTTTAATTCGCAAACCAAACGGGCAGATCTGCCCAATGAAAAGGTGGCGAATGCAGATAGAAAGCAGTAATAAATGAAATTGGGGACTGATGTCATTAGGATAGAGGTGGAGAAAAACTAAGCCAGCTGATCATCAAACAGGACGTTTGGTACTCTAGGTACTAAGGGTGTGCGGGATCATGCTGGCGCGGAACTGGCGGAGCGTGGAGATGGTAGTTCCATACACTGATACAGCCGCGCGGCCCAGATCCTACTTGCCCTTGCAGCCTGCATCTCCACTCCGCCGCCTTTTTCCACGAGTAGGCATCCGGCCCGGTACGTCCACATGTGGTCAGTGGCTTTGTGTCGAAAGTCGCCCGCTCAGCAGCGCACGCACAGCGGTGTTCAGGGTCGGCAATGATTGAAAATAAGCAGCCAGTTTGGTCGTAGATCTAGTAGCTCTAGAATGTGATAACATGTATCTGTCCAGGTCAGTATTGCATAGCTGTGTCGAATGAACCAAACCCGCCATGACGGTAGATCTACAAAGTAAATACTGTAGTTAGTTCGTTCGGGCAGATCTACACGTTGAATCATGGAACTGGTGGCGTGAGAGAGAAAGCAGGAAAATATTCCATTGACATGTCAGTCAACGGCAGAGTCGTCAACGCAGTGGTCGTACATGGTATATTGCGTATGAGGTGTTTTCGTGGACATGTAGATCCCTTCGCCTCATGAGCCACGTAGCGGCCACGGCCTGCAGCCACCAGGCTCCGAAACACATTGACAGCTCCACTCCGCTTTGACGTGCACACTTGCAGTCATCATTTTGACTGGGTCTGTGAATGTCATGCAGAGCTAGCACAGACCCGTGCGAGGCCAGGACAAGCAAGGAGGGCATGCATGACCTGGGCTAGAGCTGTGCTCGTAAGATGCAAACGTGCAAACGGCGTCGACATTTATATCTGCGTGTCTGCCAACACGTCTTGCGGTTTTCCTGTTAGAAAAATGCCTCGACCGCGATGCGCGACAGGTAATGATACAGTGTCAAAGTACAAAGTAGGTCTACATTATGCTACCTTTCCAAGTATACTACAAACAGAAGCATGATAATTAACATGTCGTGATATCATGCTTCTGTCCCCAATACTAGTACCAGTTATTCATGTGCTCATTCAGGAATACTCTAATTTCAGAAATTTTCGGTGCTCAATATTTTCGGTATGAGGGCAAAAGGCCAGGTTAGGTGAACAGAAAGTTTCGGTACAGGGAAGCTGTTCCTTCTATTGGATTATGTGTGTCAGTGTTTGTTCGGTGTATTGAAATTTTAGGTATGAAGCAGATGCACCGAAAGTACCGAAAATAAAAGTACACCGAAAATTTGTGAAATTAGAGTAATGCATGCGGAAAGGCGGTTGAAGCATAATTATTGTATTCAATAATTGTTTAATACCAATGGTCAAACGTGTTACGTGTGAGACAACCACATCCCGGAAAGCTATCACTGGTATAGTAGATCTACTGGTCAACTGACGTGCAATATTCTACCTGATCATGTCGTGATATCGTGCTTCTGTTCCCAATACTAGTAGTACCAGTTATCCATGTGCTCATTCAGGAATAATTTATGCGGAAAGGCGGTTGAAGCATAATTATTGTATTCAATAATTGTTTAATACCAATGGTCAAACGTGTGAGACAACCACATCCCGGAAAGCTATCACCGGTATGTAGATCTTCTGTTTTACTGACGTGCATTATATTCTACCTGGCCCTGGCCTGGGATCGCGGCGGAGGTCGGCGTGTCGTACATGTCGAAAGTTTGCTGCGCGCCTGTACCATGTGTACTGGGTATGGTATGTATTATGATGGCCTCTGCTAGGCACAGTGAGATGGCGTGTACGTGTGCATACTGTTGCCAGTGCTAGTAGTACCGGCATGCCGGCACTGCTGCTGGACACGCCAAAGAGAGCCAAATCGCGCTCTACTCTAGCCTCACGTACTCCGTTGCACCGAAGCAACATTCACAAACATTACCATCGTCCCAGTTTCTGTCTTGCCATAACCGAGATGCAATGTTTCAGCGCCACGATAAAACTGAATGCAGTATGTGTTTTGTTTGTCTATTTAGTGGATAAAGGAGAAGAACATTCCTCGTTAGAGCTGCAGCATTCCTCCTGCGTCTGCCAGTAGGTACTGAAGTACCGGTAAACGTTGCTTTTGGTGATTGAGACGAATTCAGCAGCACGGGCAACAGATAGTTGCGAGCTCCGGCCGTTTACCGCTCTGAGTACCTGAGTGATCGGATCCCCGATAATCATCCCTAACATTCTCCTCGTGGACTGTCCATTGAGCACTTAGATGGCGTATCGGAGTGGCTATGTCCCATATGGTGAGCACATTCCGTAAAAGTAGAACTACGAATCGTATCATCAGTACGAAATGCGAGAAAAAATGGCATTAATGTCAATGTTTTGATCCTTTCACTGCTATTTCAAAGACCATTTTTCGAAAAATCCATGATTACCTGGAAAAATGAATCCACATGGGAAGAATGCAATGGTAGAGCATTCCACACAAACTTCCGGCACTTGCTATTCGCAGTCAGTACTTGCAAAGCAGATCAATATTACACCATACAGGGGCGTCGGAAGGTATTTTAGTGTGGTACGGTCAGCCATCTGAAGAACTAGTACAATTTACTCGTGGGAGTGTGGTTACTGAGCCAAAAATGTGGAAATTGAAATCCCAGATCAGTGTATTTTATTGAGTTACGGGGTGATTGGGGCCAAAAGTGGTACAGTCAATACCGTAGTGACCATACTGTGTCCGACACCCCTGCCATAGCGCTTATCGGTGGCCATAGCTAGAGTATAGTTACGTAGTAATCATGTGATCGCTGTGCTGAATAAAGGAGTCAAATGTCTCTATTTGTTGCATGTGTCAGAGTTTTCCGTTGTCTGAGCCTTTAGCATGAAAACTCAAAGTACGAGTCACAAACTCAAACACAGATTTCCTGCCACCTTCTGAACACAAATATCATGCTGTCAATCATAGTAAGTCACAGTAAATTCTGCGACTCCTGACTGAGCATAGCGAAAGAGTGCAAAAAACGTATTTTTCACTCACAAACATATTTTCAAGTAGCTGCTCTTGTTCTGCGCAACTCCATAAAACCTGCCTTCGCGGTCTTTGTTTCCCCTGTTGTAGTTGAAGTTTGTCGTGAGTGTGATTGCTCTAGTAAACCATTCCCCCATGTAATGGACCGTTGATCTGTGAGTGAAAAGTGATGTGTTTGAGATTGCAGCACATGCCGGTAATGGTGTTCCAAGTTGTAGTGTGCAGAGAATCTATTATGGAGATCGACCATCTTGCAGATAAATACACTTCCTGGGCTCCTTTTGTTTCTACAGATACCACAGCGTCTGCTGGACCCAAATCACACAACTCCAAAGTACAACAAGGTGGACATCAAGACGATGTGCGTCGATTGAAATCGTCATCTCGTACAGCGAGCACCAGTGTGGCTTCAAGTCGGAGAGTTCCAACTGGTCAGCCGGTCATCCCTTCGCAGAATCTCACATATACTGACACACACCTGCAACCAGCTTGGCAGGAAACAAGCTTTAGTCCACAGGCAGGTACCAGCCCGCAGCCGCATCGCAGAGGGCCTACGGAAAACCATACCAGGGAAAGAGGTCAGGCACCTGTATTGGAAGCTGCAGATTGGGATAGATCATCAGCCATGGCAACACCAAAGGCAACAAGAAGCACTAGGCAACAGGAAGCAGAAAGACAAGGCTTTGACACGCAGTTTCAGGGGCTGAATATATCACCAGCGACTGCAGGTCAACCTCCCGGCAAGTTCACCTCACATCAGGCGCAGACGCCCACTGGACGTCAGGCAGCGCAGACCTCCGGGATGACAAGCATAACACCAAAAGGTCACAACTCCTATGCTTCTGCAGTTTCTTCTCCTTCCTATCTTGACAGTATCCCTGCTACTGTTGCTGGTACTGCAGCTGCGGTTGGTGGTGGTGCTGGTGCTGGTCGTGGTCGTGGCGGCGGTGGTGCTGGTAGTGGCGGTGGTGCTGGTCGTGGTCGTGGCGGCGGTGGTGCTGGTGCTGGTCGTGGTGCTGGTCGTGGTGGTGCTGGTTGTGGTGGTCGCGGTGGTTGTGGTGGTGCTGGTCGTGGTGCTGGTAGTGGTGGTCTCGGTGGTCGTGGTGGTGCTGGCCATGGTCGTGGTGCTGCTACTGCGGATGACGTTAGTGCTACTGCCACAGTTTCTCCACATTCCACTATTGCTGCTGTCCGTACTGCTGCTCCTGCTGCTTATGATGTGCCTGATTTGTCACAAGGTGCTAATCAGGCTGCAGGTGAAGCATACCCACAGACGCGAGCAACTTTCGAAAAGCTACCAGCTGATCTGAGGGGTATTATTGAAACTCACTTTAAACCTCAAAACCAGGAGCAGGAACAGCAGGAACAGCAGCAGCAGCAGCAGGAACAGATGACATTTCCGCGGACACTCCAAGCCAGCAAAGCAATGGTGTACGATGTGTTCACATGGACCCTAGGCCACATTGAAATCCTGGAAATGCTTGAGCTGAAAGAAATGAATAAAGCGCTACCTTCACTGTCATACACCAGCAAGAAGCTGTACAAAATCATGAAGCACAATCATGACGGCACCCCGATCACTGTTGATGAGGTATGTTGCGACAGGTTTCGTGTCGGAATTTACTGCCGACGTGAATTTCTCTTTCTTTGTGCAAAGTATGAAAGAGCTTCCAGGACCAAACAGAGCTGTTCAATGCATGTAGTATTGTTGTATACAGCATTTTTGTATTTGTTTTTAGTTTACATTGTACATCGCAAGTCAAACGGGCAATCATGCCCAATGTTATGATGACGATGGAAAGGGAGAAAGATTTAAGAACAAGATTAGATAACCTTGATTAAGGGGAGTGAAGAAAACAGTGAGTCTAGGAATCTCTCAGGGAAGTGTTTACTGGAACACCTTTTGTAAGGGTTTGATATCACTGTAGGGGTCAAAGACATGCATGTACTAGTGGTCTTCGGTCAATTACTCGAACTGTGGCAAACATGTCTACTACGTTACAACGTACTTCGAGTATACATCAAGTAATGGTGGTCTATAATTATGTGCTGTACTGTCTTGTGTTGCTTTGTTTTCCCCAGATGATTCAGCGATGCAACAACTACATTCTGACCTTGAAGATCCAGATGGACTCCTGCCACCCAGAAGCACGTCGCCAACTGAAGGAACAGCTGAGGAAAGAGGTGGCTGATTGGATTCGTACATGCGATACGAGCATAGCTAGTGTTCAGCATTTCATAACGAATATGGAGCGCGCAATTCAGCAGAAAGAGCCCCAGCCTATGCCAGCAAGAACACCCCTACCACAACCGCAATCAGCATCATGGATGCCTAAAACATTTGGACGTGTCCTCGAGTTTGTCCAAGGTGCTTTGGCAATGAACGATGAGATGCAGAAGGACTACGAGGATAATCCCAATCGTCAAGCGCTACTTCCCGAGTTCCGGAACCATTCCGATTATCGCTGATTTACATTCTTTGCTATGTCATCACCATGACATCACCACTACAACATCATGACATCGCCATTATATCATCATAGGCCATCATATCAACAAGAGTTTTAGTTTTAGTTTTGTTTTATTCCAAGCAATACATGGCTGGGGAAGCCAATGACAACTTTGCGTGGCGATTGTAGGGTTTGTGTAGCCATCCACGGCCAGCAAGAAAGGAAAAAGCAGGCGAAAAGAAAAGGAAAAGAGAGCACATAGAAGCAGAATTTCATGTCTTTTTGCTAGTGCTTTTTTCTCTTCTCTTTTTTTGGCTTGGTCTATTATCACCATGCACTTGTATGTCATGATTGACATTCTTTAGGCATAACTACATCATCTATTTGTTCATAAACGTATCCATTCTCACATTACGCACCTCCGCACAGGACATATTGGAGCGAGCCACATTGTCCTCTGTCCACGCACTGTATTCACGTTATTGTTAGCACATACATGTAGAAAACAATATTGATTCATGGTTTTTCTGAAAGTACAATTTGTACATTCGTACCCTCTCATAGTAATATTGTTTCATTGCAAAGTAAAAACACTCGGTAATGTGAAGAGAATAGGATTTGCTGGGACTGATGGGCGGAACGCTTCAAGTAGACGCTGGAGGCCGAACTACTCTGCCCAACCTGAAGCGTTTCCTCATTCACAGTGACGAGCCTAGCATATCCCAAAACACATACATGTACACAGTCAGGTACAGTCATAATAATTATGACATTATGTGATTAGAGTTATAGGGGGTGTAGAAAACACGTTTGCTATACACGTGTAGGATAGCGCTATCAGCAGGCGATTTCTTTTTGATTTCTTCTTCGTTTTCTTCCAGCTCAAGAGTACATAACAAAATCTCCACGATTTCCTCTGTCATTGCTCTCCTCTACTCTACTGTACTCTCTAATCTACTCTGATTGCATTAGTTTCGTCTCACTGATGCGTAAAAGGATGATCCTTTTACGCCATGACTTATTTCAGTTGTGGCAGTAATAGAATTCCACAACCCCACCGCCACCACCACCAACCAACTTTCATTCATTCTGCATGCATACACGCAACGCGGTATTAGATTGGTGATTGAGGTTCGCGGATTCTGAGCTCTGCAGTACCATTGCTAATGCCAGTATGTGTCAAGTACATTGCTAATGCCAGTGATGTAGCTGCTGATTTAGAGAGGAATAATAATGATGATGACAATCACTTGGTGACACTGACAGGCAGACAGCTGGCGCCAGGCAGGCTCTGGAAGACAGCCAGGCAGGTTCTGGAAGACAGCCAGGCAGGTTCTGGCAGTACAATGTACAGTAAAGTACAATGTACGTGTAAGTGCTATTCTGCCAGTGCCTAAACCTGCACCTGCGACATAACAGGTAGAATATCTAAACGGAAATGCGATGTCCTCAACTGTCTACGGTAAGGTCTTGGCTGCTGCACTGGCCATTATGGTGATTCACGAGATGTAGAAGTTATCATGTTTCAACACCGACCCTGTGCTACCTGGGAGAATACCCTGTCTGACCGGCCTTGACTGCTGTAATTGTGATCATGGTGTTGTACGAGCGGTGGATGTGATCATGTTTCAATATCGAACCTATCCTCCTACATAGAGGAATGCCCTGTCTGCTGAAGAGCGCAAACTAGACTGAACGCCGTGCGTTGAGAAGTCTCTGAAGATCAGTCTGCAGTAGTCATTCTGTTATCAAGCACTCGGTAAGCAATTGATCGTGTCCGCTTCAGTTCTTCCTCGCGCACAGAATGGCCGACGGTGAGCGGTATGTCGAGCTACATATGGGGTGCCCAGCGGTGGGCTGTCCTAACACCAGGTAAGACATAATACCAGCTAGGACAAAACCATCTCCATGTGCACACATACATTGTACACACTTTTCGTTTCCGAACTCTTCTCATCACTTTCCTGCAGCGCCTCATTGCATATCTACTCAATCCCGTTTTTCGGTCCCATTAGTGTTTCTGTTTTCACATTGACAATGGGCCATTAGTGCCCGATAACTTGGTGAACAGTTTAAATGACGTATACAACAAAGAGACCTCATTTTGAGTGTTTGAGTTGAGGTATGCTATTCAGGACACAACCATTGTGCGAGTACAGAATCTGTTGAAATGTGCTCAAATGCAGTGGGACGTCAGCGGAAATTGAGACTGCGTGGAGATTTGTATCATATTCACTGGTTTGAGGGAAAGACGCAAATGGGAAAAGTCTGAAGAAAATATTGACTGTCACCACCAGGACTCGAACCAGGGACCCTCGCTTGTAGCTAGCGATGCTCTAACCACTGAGCTATGGTGTCGTCGTCATCCCAGCAGAGACCGTTCAACCATTTCCTCAGGCTTCGTAACTCGCACTTCCTGTGAATCCACACAGGCGGGTGGGACGCAGCCCCCACTGTAACCCACACACTTCACGTACAAACTAGCACACGGGGAGCCCCAAGTCATAAAGTATTCTTTGTATCACCAAAGGCTTTGCCTGTGTTCTCACTCTACACACTATATTTCCAACGTGTCTGGAGTATTAGAGTACTGTTTGACGTTGAATCCATTATCATCTGATCTCTATGCAGAAACCCAGACGTGGTTAACAACCGATGGCGTGGCTCCAAATGTCGTGGTGTGATAGAGATCAGTCAGTTTGGAAATTTGAGATGCGAGCACACCAGAGGTTCATCAAAGTGTGTTCAGGGCAAGATGTATTCGTTTCGCTTCGACTGTGGACTTCGCGGACCGGACTCTCCACATGACAATGGACTCAGCCGATTCCGCGAAGCAGATCGCCAGGGCATTAGCCACGCGATAGCTGCAGCAATGGCAATGAACTACCTTTCACCCAACGGCCTGGCATGGGTGACCAGCCTGATGACAGCCATAGCACAGCAATATCCAGAACTCGATAAATGATTCTTTAATGATGTATAGAAATAACATGCTGCAGTTTAATAACTACACGGTATAGTTCTGTAACATATACTTACTTCCAAGTACAACCCGAATTCGTACTTTCTCTGCAGAACTGATTCAATGAACAGTCAAACGTGTAGTAATATTGTGTCTTGACTCTGAAACTAAAAATACTTTGTTCTACATGTTGATCACGACGTATGGCACACTTCTTGGGATATTCGACTGTATATTGATGTGTGTGTATGTGTGTGTGTATGAGTGTGTGTTTGTGTGTGTATGTGTGTGTGTATGAGTGTGTGTTTGTGTGTGTATGTATGTGTGTGTGCGTAACCCCGCCCCACCGTGTATGTTTTTGTTGTTGAGACATGCAATAACAAATTATTGCATCTGTGTGTTTAATGTTGCCTTGGCATGATGCCATGAGAGGGCTGAGAGAAACACAAAGCGGCAGGGTCAAAATAACGTAGAGGTCACCCTCACACATGGCATGGCACGGGTTATCAACACAGCACTGATGCATTTGCATGTTTTGTGCGAGATACATAACAAATCTTACAAGTGACATCATGACTGTACGCAAAATACCACTCTACAATCTACAGTTGTCCACTCCACTAGAGACACAGAGCTATGTGTAAGAAAAGGTTTTCGAAGTTACAGTGGATGCAGGTACCGGTGCACTACACAAGAGAGAGATTGGAAGCTTTGTTACAACTCTGAGTTTCACGTATTACTACGATCATCAGGCAATACCGGTACACTATAATTATTTTATATGTTTCGACCCCACAGACCTTCGGACATATGGGTGTATAATGATGAAGGCAACACAACGCCACGGCAGTGGTGGTACATGGTGAGATCCAACCGTCTCACAGCCATTGCTACGTGAGTGAACCAGGTGCAAGAGAGTATTAAAAGGCGTGAAATGGAGCACGGGGGACCCCGGTTATGTGATGATTCACGATTATGATAACGTGCGGTGCAGCAGTTGGCACTAGTCACTGGCATGTACCAAACACGAACGTGGAGCACATCAGCGACTCAGGCCATTTCCCGGAAAGTGTTCAGCCAGCATGGATGCCACTGGCAGCGCATACGGAAGTGCGTGCAGCACCAGTTAATGAACTGTCAAACCTTGACAACTGCGACAATGACAGCGTGACATTGTCGATCTACAATAGCATAGCGTGACATTGTAGATCTACATGACTGTAGCTGATGCATTCCCTGTAATGACACACAATGACAGAGTACACGTACGGGGCCATGAGCACTGCATGAGCACTGCACGCTGGCATAGCTTTACTGCTGAACGACCAGTCCAATAGTAGGAGGTGGCTGGTCTACATACATGTAGATCCATTGTTGCCTTCATATCGTGCTGATTGAACTAAAAACGGTGTGCCCCTACTAGTAATTATATTGTAGGGTATCATGCGACCATCTGTTCACGTTTCACAACGCGGAAGACGGGAATGCAGCTCAATGAATCGTATTTACTGGACAGCGTAGAGTCAAAGCTCTCTACAGAGATATTGTCAAGGCCGTCTATAATCTCATACATGTATGTACTAATAATAGTGAAGGCAAGCATTCCAGGCAGATCACGCATCACAAAACGTGCAGGGCTTTCTCAGAATTGCTCTGCAATGGTATTAGAGTAGTGCTCTCCGTCAGCAGACTCAACACTAAGCTTTTTCTCCGGTATTGCGTCAAGGCATGCAGAGACGCCAAATGAAATCATACACTACCTAATGACGTTATGCGAGACTCGGAGCTTGTCATGGCCCGATGAAAGGAGAACTTTCAACACCCGGAAGTGTTGCATGCGATTCAAGACGCCGCCAAATAGCATAATCCAGCCTGTCTTGAGTAATGACATTTAGAAACTTCGTGCGATAGCGCTGGTACAATTACTCCACTTTGACTTCTTGGCGATGGCTTGCGAATAGAGACAGCCAAAAGCACGATTTCTGCTCGGTAGCTGTGCTCCGCATTTCATTAGAATATTGTTGAAAAGCAACACACAAGAAGGTCCGAACAGTGCCGGTTGCAGCTTCAGCCTTCCCTCCCTGGCTTTTGGCTTGCTGCAGCGACAGAGACTGCGGCGCCGTGTTCAAGTTGATTGACCAGTGAGCGCTGCACACAAGCTAGCCACAGAGATGGCGGGGATCAAAGAGGAGACGTTCTTTGAACTACATATGGGCTGTCCAGCTGCAAATTGTCCCAACAAAGCGTTAGTACTACTTCCAACTTCAATTGTGTTCTTGACTGAGCATGCACTGAGCATGCTGAATATGCACGAATCATATCATTTGCCACAGGTGTGGGATGCTGTTGCAGTAATGGATAATGATTGTATTGATTGTGCTACTACTGTATAAGAAGAAAGCAGTGGAGACGGCGCCATTCATTTTTAACGTAAACCAGTGTGTATTATTTTGTGCCTTCACTGCCCATTCAAGTTGATCTCGGGGCAGGGTACAGTTTGCATCCATGAACTAGCCACGTCTGCTCCAGAAGTTGCGGACTCTGTGGGGATTTCTTGTTGCACATATAGCGTATTGCGAGCACAGCTTCGTATTCTCTTTTGTTTGTTCTCTGGTATCGTTCTGCCCCCCCCCCCCCCTCCTCTCTCTCTAACGTCCATGTTGATGTCTGATTGCAAAGGCAACGCTATGACCTCTGGTTGGGTGGAGTTGCTCACAGTACATGTACATGATGGTGGCAGCTTGAGAGCTCGTAGTTCGCCAGTTTCAATACTCCTGTGTCTGTGTCTGTGTTTGCTTGATTCAAACTGCAGCAATCGAGAGCTGGTCGTCAGGGACTGGAGAAGCACAACATGCAATGGAAAGATGCAAATTGGAGAGAGGGGCAACTTGCGCTGCGAGCACCACGCAACGCGTCCCTGTGTCCACGGCCCAATGGGTGACTTCAGATTCGACTGTGGCCTGCGCGGCCAGGATTCGCCTCATAGCCTGGGGGAGCCCTTCGTTAAGGGTGATCGCCAAACATTCGCTCACGCATTCGGTGTTGCGCTTTCAATGCAGTACTTAGGTCATCGGGATTTGGCGTGGGTGCAGGCACTGCTTCTGTCTCTGAACAAACAGTTTCCTATGTAATCGGATATGGCGAAATGTGAATTATTCTAAAAGCCATGATGTGAAAGAGAATGTTTTGAATACGAGGAAGCACACACACACACACACACACACACACACACACACACACACACACACACACACACACACACACACACACACACACACACACACTGTCACACACACACACACACACCACACAAACACCACACACACACGCGAACACACACGCGAACACACACACACACACATACACACACACATACACACACACACACACACTGTCACACACACACACACACACCACACAAACACCACACACACACGCGAACACACACACACACACACACTGTCACACACACACACACACCACACAAACACCACACACACACGCGAACACACACGCGAACACACACGCGAACACACACGCAAACACACACGCGAACACACACACATTCTACGTACATGTATCTGCATTGTACCCACCATAGTGTTAGTACTCCCTTCGTACGTTCTTATGTACTTACAAGTAGATAAAACAAAGGTATTTAAATGTTTACCTCCCTCATATTCCTCAATAGTAGAGGGTACACGCTCTGAGCTTTGATCCCAGACTTGAATTACATTTTGGTTTGGTGCATATCATCAGCACAGCTTGTCAATACCTTCTTTTATGACTGAATATTGCTATTCAGCTTTCATTGTCATTTAGTATATTCAGGACTGGTATACTTGTGGAATTCGATAACCCAATGATCATTATGTATGGACTAGGCTGCAGGACGGCATCGTGAAACAACTTGTCGAGTCTCGATTCGCCCGACATTCAGTAATCAAAGCGCTGGTTGCAGAACGGGACTACATTGTATACGACTCGTATTTTGTGTGGAGCTAGCGGAATTGACTGGACCTTCATTCATTATTCTTTGCTCTGAATTCATCGCATCATACTATTGGGCAGCACCGCTCCTTTGCCGGATATCGATGTCAAATAAACTCAAATACAAAATACAATTCTAATTACAAACGATAATCCGGTGGAACAAAAAAGTGATCTCTACTCACGAGTTTCATGCTGAAAAGCAATCATCAGGAGACTGGGGCTATACTCGGGGTTGAGTGGTCGTATTCACTAAAAGCGTTGTCCCATGGCAGGTATACAATGCTAGTGTTTCAGCTCGAAGGCAGTGTAAGCGATCAGTATAATTATAAGTACAGTACTATGCGGGTGGCATGGGGATATTATGACACCGGCCAAGGTGTAACCGGCTACTGCGGGTTGAGGAAAAGAATGATCTATATTCGTATTGCACAGGGTTACCGTAGACTAGTTCCGCGCATATAAGCCCATGGGCTAATAATAAGTAATATCCGAAATAATGCATTTTCCGGGAAAAAAAAATCAGTAATAATGGTTCGTTTTTTAGCCCTGGCCCCTGGGCCTATATTCGAATTTTGAAGGCAGCTGGCACGCGAAAAAGTACAAGTCCGTGCTTGGTTGTCCGCCTACCGTAGGTACCGGTACAGGTAACGATGTAGTCTGCACTGACATGCTGTACTAGTATCGGTCAAGAGTCCATGGGGGTCAAGGGCGTTTGGTACTTTTGAGTACAGGAATGGACTTGTTTTGTGTCTTTTTCAATTTCCTTTTTTCTTTAACCCTCCACTTTCTTGTTTTCTGGTTCATCAACAAGAACAGCTACCGGTATTGCTAAAAATACACTTGACAAACGGGTCCGTAACGATGTTTGGGTCTGTTTATTAGCCCATGGGCCTAAAAACAGAGGTGGGCTTATATCCGGATATAGGCCTGTAACCGAATGGCGCCTAGTAGCATGCACTATGATCCGACACACCGCCAAAGACAACAACCGACTTCGACATTGGTTCTAAGATTTTGTTGAGTAAGAAAAGTGTACGATATTATGTGACCAAAAAGATACAGTGAAAGAAAAGCCTAGCAAAGCATTGCAAGCCACGTTGGTTCGGCTGCACGACTTCGGCTGCAAGCTAGTGCAAGCCAGTGCAAACATGCAGATCGACAATGTTGTGCGGAAACCAAACATCACACTATTTCCAGAAACTAACTA